GGAGGGGGAGGTGGGGGAAGGGGGGGAAGGGGGAGAGCAAGGTTAAGCCTTAAGTTCGCCTCATACCACTGAGAAGTAGATCAACATAAGTGCACCTCCAAGCTTTTCTGCGCCAGCAAAACACTCCACCTTTGTACTGGTGTTCCCATAACCGTCATTATCTGCTTGCTCAACACTCTTTTTATTACGATTTTTGCTTTCTTTCTTGCGCTCTGATATTGCCGCAATAAGAGAGGAGATACCAGCCGCTATAAGAGTCATTATTCCAAGATCCGCTCCTGCAACCACACCCATGTCCGGAACATAGAACTCGGTACGGTCAGCTGAGGCATAGGCATGCTCCACACTTACACAGGGACTTTTCCAGGACGTAACTGAGCGCAATTATGGCCAGATTCGGTCCAGAAAGGCCCTAGTAAAGGCATGCTCCACACTTACACACGGACTTTTCCAGGATGTAACTGAGCGCAATTATGGCCAGATTCGGTCCAGAAAGGCCTTAGTTGGAGTATACTGTACGCTTTAAGCTCAGTCATCCAATTTAATTTTCCTGTTCCAGCGCTGGCAATCAATAATGATGGGACTTTTCCAGGATGTAACTGAGCGCAATTGTGGCCAGATTCGGTTCAGAAAGGCCATAGTTTGAGTATGCTGACTACTATTACTCCTGATAACCTCAGTCATCCAAGTGGTATTTTTACGGCAAACATAAGCAGGGAGTCTGGGAACCAATGAGCGATTCCAGAGTCTTTGGTATAATACATGATTTTTTTGAGACCGCGAAGCAGCACTAATATTCACCTTTTTTCCTTTTGTTAAGATCAATTTAAAAAAAAAAAAAAAAAAAAAAAGATCAATTTTGACACCCCTCCAGGGTGTACGACAAAATTGTCCGAAACTCAGTCCAAAAGCCTGAAGCCTGAGGTCAGCACAATCCTCAGGGGTCCTGCAAATGAGGCTTAGCACCCCTTCAAGGGCTGGATCCCCACTTCTTTTGCATGTAAATTGACTTTGGGTTGGGGGGGGATTAAAAAGTTCAGAAGAAACAATGTTGTTAAGGTTCAGAGTCTCAGACCATTCTAGTTGCACCATAATGTTTTGATTATGACAGTTAAATGAACTTAAATCAACTGAAATAAACGTGTGCGTTGTGGGTTCGATAAATTTTGGGTTCCCGGCCACAGGCTACATTATTGGTAGTTCGAAGTTGGACCCCAAAACCCTGGCCCAAGCCGGTAGAACTTTTGGTAAACAAATATTAAAGTTAATTAAACATATGGACGCTGGGCTCGGTTCTCAGCACGTTCTGTCTGGTTATTCCGGGTAGACTGTGAGGACCCTGGCCTTAATTTTTTTCTCAAATATCAATATCATCCTTGGGCACTGGGCCCGTTTAAAAATTAAAAGAAAAAGAAAGAAAAAAAAAAAGCATATGCTTTTGCTGTTGCTGCTCGATGAGCCACATAGCACTCAACAGCTGCTCGAGTCTTGAACCCAGGACCTCTCCAGTCGAAAAAACTCTACACGGTAGGGTAGGGTTGGTTTGTTAAGCCTTAGGTCTATCTTTTTTGCCAGTGGTTGATTTTTTGGTAGGCCCTGGGCTGCCAACAGAAATACGTGGGGCAGTGGGTTTCAGTTCTTTTGTAACTTTTGTGTATTATTATTTGTTGGATTTGACGGAGTAGGAGACCAGGCAGCACTGCTACCGTCTTCACCCGAATAGAACGCCCGGTCCGGTCATTATACGTGTCTTTGGTGCAACTTTCAGTCCAGATACTGCAATAACGACCGGGCGTTCTCTTCGGGGGAAGATGGTAGTAGCACAAGAAGAGAGGAGAGAGGGGCACCGCCGTAACCACTCATACCCCCTCCCTGGTATCGTGTCCCGTTTTGAAGCCTGTTCGAGTCATGGTACTCAGGACGAAAAGGTACTTGCGCAGTTTGATGTAATCATTTTTACCTTGGTGTGTAACTTCCAATCAAGAGTGTGATGTGTTTCACTGAAGTCCGTGTGATCGTGAAGATTTGCTGTGACCTTTCATTGAAGTCAAGTGAAATCCTCACATAATCTTTGAATAGTATAAAAATACTATAAATAGTAAATAGTTAAAAAAAAAAAAAAAAAAAAAAAAAAAA